CCGATGCACGCTTATTCGCGGATCTTTGTTAATTAAAATCTCGGTAACTATTGCGAATCTAGCAAAATGGTATAGGACTTTTCACCTTAGTTTTATTCCTTCTACCTGTGTACGAGCGATGTTAAACCAATTCTGGGACACCCTGTATATTACGGAACGGTTATATATTTAGTACGCGAGAGTGCTGGTTTAGGCGACACCATAAACAATATATAAATTAAAGAATATATATTAGAATGATATAAATGAGAATGTAAATATATAATAAAATTTAAATAGAACATTGTAATATTTATTAGACTGAACAGAAAACATTATAAACTTAAAAAAGAGAGTCGAAGTTTGACAAACATATCGTTATAGTTTGAAAAATACAACATATAAAAGTGCTATATAGTACTCACATTTCCTGTAAAAGTAGTTAGCAAAAGTGAAATAATATCAATAGTATATAGTAATATACCAGGAATCAAAAAAACATTGTTTTAATGTCGTTGTCAACGTTTGTTCTCGTAAACCATTTATCTGATAAAATGCATAAATACGTAAATGGACATCGTGTTTAGTAGATAGCAAAAGTTTTTTTTTAACACGTTATTTTTAGATAGAAGTATGTCCACTTAAAAGAACAGTGTATAAAGCTACAATATAAAACGCAAAAATAAGTAGCATTCTATAAAGAAAGTGATACTTGGATAAAACCTGTTGTCAATTGTTAAACTATCGCAAAAAGTAAAAATAAGGATTTAAAAATTTCTTCAAATATTAGATTTTCCAACATTTGTTTGCAATATTTATCTTTACTGTACAGTCTACTTTTTGTTTATCGAAATAACTTACAAGGAGAACTCTGTAATTTCTCAAGTTATAACTGTATGTTTATAAATGTATAAAAAAATGGATTGTTTACAGGAGACTAGAATATTTGTTGTTTTGTCAGTATAAAAAATATAATATTTGTGCACTATGTAAAACAACAAATAGTATTTGATATTTGTGGATAAAAAAATGTTTAAAAAAATAGTATAAGCAATAGATATAAATAGTAAATAAAAGAATGAATATCTTTACCAATATACATATAATTTAGAAAAAATTACATTATAAGTAAATTTACTTAAAGTTTAATAATTAAATATCGAGGAACCTTAAGCATTTACACTATGTTACGATAAATCATATTTTGCTTTTATAGGTTAAGCTTTTGATAATATTGATTAGATTTCTTGATAATATATCATATACACAGTATTTCGAAAATAGTGTCAATAATCAATTCTATCATGAAAGTTTAAAATGGACATGCATTATTGGCGATTGGAAATGCAAAGAACATGTTAATGGAATATTAGAGTGGCATTTCAAAAATCCTGCACAAAACAAGTACGTTATTCTACTTTCTCAATAGCAAGGTAACGTCCGTTAATGTTACAAAGACGTCATCTTGCTATTGGACTTATATTTTCTGTACTTGCGTCTCTGACATGTGATTTATTACATTTGTACGCTTAAAAAGTAAATCTAATACCAGTAATGAACTACTTTGTATCTAGTGTTATATCGGGGAGGACCCAGATGCGCACATAATCAAACGGACACGGCAGGGTGTATCAATCGGTCACAATAAGAATCGGACACACGACAGACTTAATCAGACACAGTCGCAAACGGATACACTAGTATTAAATCAAGACTATTTCTTTTATATTGCTTTTTTTGTTTTTATTCCTACAACACGAACAAAAACCACATAAAAGAAACAATCTTGATTTAATACTAGTGTATCCGATGTAGAATATGTTCGTATTACATTGTCTTGTGTCCGATTGAAACTGTGACCAATTGTGACTGTATTTGATTGCGACTGTGTCCGATTAAGATTGTGTTCAATTGCGAGATTGTGTCCGTTTGCAACTGTGTCCGGTTGAGTCTGTCGTGTCCGTTTTTTACTGTGTCCGATTGACATACCTTGCCATGTTCGATTGTTACTGTGCGCATCTTGGACTCACTCGTTATATATGTTTAAGTGAAATAATATAGGTTTCTACTTGTAGACTTTTGCCAAGTTGGCAGAAATGGATATATTGCCAAGGATTAATGTTAGAAACTGTCACTTATGATAATTCTGCTTTGTGGCAAAAAATTTTTCACATATACCAAACACAAGGAAAAGAAAAAGAATTCTTAGAATTTTTGCCTTGTTCTAGAAAATACGAGGATATGTATAATTTTCTTTATTTTCTTACTCGTCACATTCTACCAACACCTGGAAGTAGTTTAACTGCAAAAACAAATAAGACTCAAAATATTATAAATGCAAAGAAAAGTGATACTAGTACTGTACTTTTCACTATTTTTGCTTTGCATTCGAAAAATGATTCAGCGCTAAATAACATAAGATTTGGATTAGAATCTGGAATAGTAAGGTACAAAAAATAATTTATATGTATAGGAACTTTCATACAAAATATTTTATACACATATGTATTTTACATTATCTGCATAGTTTGTATATTACCTTTATTTTGGAACAAACAGTGTTGTGTTACGTTATTTTTTATAATATTTTTTAGTAACGTTACATACTAATTGTACGTTTATTATTTGATTTGATAGAGACGTAAACATACTACCAATAATAAATTGTATTATTAACAACATATATTCACACTACGACTTGTCACTGGTATGTTGTATGATTTTATTAAGTCTTGTAGATAAATATGTAAACAGAAATTTATTTGTTATATGTATATATACATATATATATTATACACAAATATATATATATATATATTATACACTATATATAGTATACACGAATGGTGTCACTCTGGTAAAAATATATCAAATTTTGCTGTGACCTGTATCCGTAATTGTTTGGAATAATTCAAACAACCTTTTTGATATATAATATTGATTGTTGTTACACAATGTAAATACATCGCATTAAGTGATAAGAGCACTTTATTGTTTCAGATTACTAACGAAATGTTCTTACAGAAATTGGTGCACATATACATGATAAAGGTACTTTACTTATTTTTGAGGATTTGTGCGTTACATTTTTTGTTTTTTTTATATTTAGGCTTGTTTTATGTGTACATTGTTTTTGTATTATTTTTAATTAAAAGTATATTTTAAAAGTATATTTTGTATATTGTCTTAATCAATGTTATTCACAAGTATACAGGATTTAATTAGACATACTTTTTGTAATCTGTTTTAGGAACCATATGTTCTCGATGCCATTAAAGAAAAAGTAGAATATCGTCGTAACTTCTTAAGTAAAATGCAAACTACAATCCGTTATAAACCCCAGTATGTTTGTAATTATAAACACATGAAAATATAAAGTTTCTGTTTTGTGGTTTTTAGCATGTAAACAAACGATTTTAGTTAAAAGAATTTACCAGTTAAATGTATCTTCATTTGTAAGTTTTGTTTGTTTAAATAAGTTATAATTTATGATAACAAAATTTGCTGATTATGATTAACATCGGAAACTCACGTTTTGGACTTTAATATGTAATAAGAAGTTACTCATAAAATGAATACGTTTCGTCAGTAAGATGTAATACTTATATACTTGCCTATAAAAATGTATATGTATATTTATGTACAGCACACAGAAATATATGAATATACACATTGGTAACTAAACGCACAGTATCTAAGTAAAGAAATCAATGACAGTAACAGAAAAGTTTTTATTATGTAAAGCTTTTATGCACAAAAGTTTGCGAGCGATATGCCGAATCAGAATTTGGTAAAAATTGTTGTATTGTAGTCGTAGGCAAATTTCATACAGTCATCCGATAGCACACGCGACTTCTTGTCAACGGTCTTGTCAACAGGTGATCGCATGCTGCCGTTTGCAAATATTATTTTGCCTATTCAAACGAGTCACACGATTTTCAAATTAACGCGACTTATAGCTTTCAAGTATAAGAATTCGCTCGATGATCGAAATAGTCTCCAATAGCATACGGATAGTTTAGCGCTAATCACGTTTCGATAAATTTTGTATTTTAAACAAGTAATGTAGCATCATTCGCTCTGAAAGCACCTTGTATTGTCTGTTCTTCTAAGTGATCTTTCTATAGCTTTTCGAGTGAGAGAGTGAGAGAGAGAGGGAGAGTCAAATCGTGGAGCAAGTGCTCTTCGATAAGCACGATCAAAGTTTTGTGATATTTTCAGTAGTCTTTGGACAAATCTTTAGAGTCAACACTCTCAGATAGACGTTTCTTTCAGCCGTCACAAAATTCAGTAAAGAAACAGTAAAATTTTTTTGTATAATAAATTTTGTTGGAAATAACACAAGTGTTTCCATTTTGCTTCGGAACGTGATAAAACAAATATACGCAATATAAACCAGTTATTTAACGCTCGCAATCAGTTCCATGTACTTGATCACAAAGTTACGATTGCGTTTGATTGTCTACATTTGAAATGTGTTCTATTGAATCTTACATTTAAGAGCACATCAACAAGATTTTAGAGAGAAAGAAAACATATATTGAGAAAGAAAACATGTGTTGAGAGAGAGAGAGAAAGAGAGAGAGAGAGAGAGAGAGAGAGAAGAAAAGCTATCCGGAACTACACGCACGCACTGAACGTGACGTCATCAATCGGCGTCAAATTTCTGTGTTCCAAGCAAACATTTCTGTTTTAAATACAACACTTCGACCATTATTGTAAGTAATTACACACTTGTATAAGTACTTAATACACTTGATTAGGATTTATTATTTTGTTAATTTAATCGCTTTAGACAATCGATAAAGATTGAATCTTTTTCGAACGAAACATTTTGTAATTCAATCCAACCAAAGAAACCAAGTTTTTACACACGATCACCTGTGAACGTTATCTCACTGGCCTGTGTTTTCTTGTACTTGGGATGAAATAAAACAAGTTTTGTATATATTAAATTGTATTATTATATGAATTTGTACGTTCAAACCGTGAAATATACTTAAAACCGTTATTTCTATCATTATATATGTTCGTAGAAGAAACCAAAATAAGGTTGGTTTTCTCACCTCAGATGTGTACATCGCATGTAGATAGTATTCCACAGAACGATCGTTTCTTAGTTTTTGATGAATTTTCGAAGAGTCAAGATCACGCAAACGATACGTTTTTGATTTTATGTACTAGGAGTTCACAATATTATTCATGCGAGATTTCTGTTTTAATGCATTGGATTCCATTATATAGAAGATGGTAAGGCCTTATTTTTTTATATTAGTTTTCGGAAAATTTCAGTTGTTTTAAAATATTACTTCTTTTTGTGTGTCTCTAACTGTATGCGAATATTGGACAGTAACTAACATAAGATATAGTCATAGATTTATTATCTCAAAAGAGTATTATACTCGTTTTGCACCGTAGAAGCAGGAAAGCAATTACTAAAATGTTACGCTCTATTATATATCTTTGAAATGTAGTAAATACTACAAAAAATATTCAAACGATTTAGTAAGACGGTTTTCGTTTAATATTGTAATACACAGATTACAATTTAAAAAGCGCTTAAACCTAGAGTAAACATTTTTTTATCACATTGTCCTACTTTCGTTTGTTGCAATAATATCAAATTTTGGAGAACGTGAAGTATACAATTTAATGTTTATACTTATGTTTTTTCTACTTTGTTTTCTTAATTGTCCTTGTATGTCAGATTGGGAACATTACAATCGTGACACATAGTGTGATGTGTATGTGTGATAGAAATAAGAGACATCGTAGATTATTGATAAACATACTTATACCGGTCACACATTTTTAATTGCAGCTTTTGTACTTGATACTGCAAAAGTCTATTGTTTCATAATAAAGTTTTGCGTTATAGATAGTTTTGTTTTACGTGTATCTGTATATCTCATTTACAAGCAAAATAATGTTGTAGATACGCATTACGCAGATGCTTATATTCTTTGGAGCAATATACTTAATATCTGTCCACGGAGTTGCATCTTCCACTGATGAAAATTTCTCTCGGACATCGCAGTGTGTACAACCGATAAATTATACTATTTCTTTAGAAAAACAAAACACCTCTCGTCAATTCTACTGTTGTGCTAAACGTGTCATGTGAACAGCAATACATACGATTACAAATCGGACGTTATTGTAATGTAGAAAAAGTTAAACTTCAAACTGTATCTCTTTATCATATTATCATATTATCATATACCATAAAATATATGGTAACTTTGTTGTATAATTGTAATTTAACAGATGTTGTGACGGTTGACACGTACATGAACCAATCTAAAACGAAAAAGTAAGTGCATACAAAGCTACTACAAATTAACATTGTTGTACTGCTGCAACTATTATATGCCACAAAGTCATTTATAGATTACCTGTATTTCTTCAGAACATTATCAAAAACTTATTCAAAAAATAATTATAAATTTTAAATATTGAAACATACAGTTTTTTAGTTTACATAACATAATAATATTTTTTTATATTGTAATGTACATTTACTAGTTTTATTAATTCATAATATAGTACATTTAAAAATTATATATTTCTATGAAAATCGTCTTATTTTGCTAAATAGATTTTTATTCTAGTAGCTCTACATTTGTTCTCTTTAAATGTGATTACGAAAGTTGTATTACTAATTCAACACTTTTTATGTACCGTAATATACAGGGTGTTTCAGAACTATGGGATCAAACTTCTAGGCGTTATTCAGTGCAACAGTAGAAAACATTTGAGTATAGGGACCCATGTCCGGAAAAGTGTCACTACCGCACTACGGCTCTAAGACGCGTTAAAATTTAGAAAGACGAT